TGGTATATTGAAACTCTACCACATTACACAGTTATATGGCAGCTGTATATATGAAGTGTTGGTTTGTTTTATGGTATGTTTTATGGTATATTGAAACTCTACCACATTACACAGTTATATGGCAGCTGTATATATATATGAAGAAGTGTTGGTTTGTTTTATGGTATATTGAAACTCTACCACATTACACAGTTATATGGCAGCTGTATATATATGAAGAAGTGTTGGTTTGTTTTATGGTATATTGAAACTCTACCACATTACACAGTTATATGGCAGCTGTATATATGAAGTGTTGGTTTGTTTTATGGCATGTTTCATGGTAAATTGAAACTACTACATTACACAGTTATATGGCAGCTGTATATATGAAGAAGTGTTGGTTTGTTTTAGGGTATGTTTCATGGTATATTGAAACTACTACACTACACAGTTATATGGCAGCTGTATATATGAAGAAGTGTTGGTTTGTTTTAGGGTATGTTTCATGGTATATTGAAACTACCACATTATGCAGTTATATGGCAGCTGTATATATGAAGAAGTGTTGGTTTGTTTTAGGGTATGTTTCATGGTATATTGAAACTCCACCACATTATGCAGTTATATGGCAGCTGTTTAAAAAACTAAGTGGTTACATAATCACCACCCTGTTTAATACTATATGGAGCAGCAAATTACTGAATTTTATACGGAAGAAAAGTTACCTGCAAATTTTTCCCACCATACATGTTGATTGTTTCTTCAATATATGCTAGGTTTGATCGATTAATGTCATCAGCATACAGAGCCCAGAAGTGACCACAGTCAAGAACCTAAACAAAAACACATAGAAAAATTAAATAAATATAAAAATGAGCTTGTTTATGAATAAACAAAATGAACCAGTAAGCAAGAATAATAAAGTTTTTTATTGACAACTGTGAAAAAGATCACAAATATTTGAATACAGAATATCCTGAAATCCAACTACATACTCGATCTACTTATCAGGTTGCTGTAGGTACAGAGTGAATCTAAATACGACTATATACTTGATTTAGTTATCAGGTTGCTGTAGTCACAGAATGAATCTAAATACGACTATATACTTGATTTAGTTATCAGGTTGCTGTAGTCACAGAATGAATCTAAATATGACTATATACTTGATTTAGTTATCAGGTTGCTGTAGTCACAGAATGAATCTAAATATGACTATATACTTGATTTAGTTATCAGGTCGCTGTAGGTACAAAATGAATCTAAATATGACTATATACTTGATTTAGTTATCAAGTTGCTGTAGGTACAGAATGAATCTAAATACGACTATACTTGATTTAGTTATCAGATTGATGTAGTTACAGAATGGATTTAAATATGACTATGTATTTGATATAGTTATCAGATTTTTGTAGTTACTGAATGAATCTAAATATGATATTATATACTTGATCTAGTTATCAGAATGAACCTATTGAGGTTAATTCTGATAAATATAACAAGTATATAATCATGTTGAGGTTCATTCTGATAAATATAACAAGTATATAATCATATTGAGGTTCATTCTGATAACTAGATCAAGTATATAATATCATATTTATGATTATATACTTGTTATATTTATCAGAATTAACCACAATATGATGTTATATACTTGATCTGGTTATCAGAATGAACCTAAATATGTGTTTGCTCACATTTAGAGAAATTAGCCACTGTTATGGGTACTACTTAATGACCTGACACAAGTGACCTTCCAATTTTTACGTTGGCTGGCCTGGATGGGTCTTCCACTGCTTGCACAAGCATCGGGATTCTTTGGGGATGTTCTTTTATTCTACTCCAAATTATCTTCTATGACATAGTAGGTATTGTAGTTGACTTAAGTGCTATGACATGCAAGTCAACAGAAGCAACAACACTTACTGGAATTTGGCCTTTGTTGTTCACAAACATCATTTTAGCAAAGTTAACTACACACTTCCTTGGTAGTAGGTAGTCCAACCCTAATATGCATTGGTCTTTAGTCCAACCCTAACATGCATTGGTCTTCAATGTCAGCCAAGTATACTGTGTCTGTCCTTTATGCCCATGAGCTCAATAGTTACCCATACTGGTCCCCACAACCTTGCATAATGTCCTGTCATACCACAGAGCTTCTGTATGGCTTCTGGTATTCCTTTGTGATCCAGCACCTTGATACTCACAAGGGCTTGCTGAGATGCAGAATCTATGACAAAGTTGCACCTTTGGCCATCCAGCTTTCCTGTCACGTAGTCACTACGTGTGCTTAGCATTTTACACCTAGCTGTTGGGACTTTCATGATGGGGG